CAATCTTTCAATGAATGAATCATCATATAAATTTAACATCTTTGCACTGTATATATCACCATAAAAATTCATTAACAATTTGTAATTATTATCTACCTTCTTATAGGATGTTGCACCATTTTAAAATCAAGCAAACAGTTGCTGAATGGCAATTAATATAATAACCTCAAGTGCAAGCTTTTTGGAAAGTTTTATTGACAGGCTAAGTAATGTTATCAGCAGAACCAAATGCTGGAATGTATTAGTATTTTATATACCCAAAGGGTTTTTTTTTCACAAAATATATATAAGAGACCCTGTACATGCTCAAGGGAAATCAGGGAAGCTAGAGCTATTAAAAGCAATACATATTAAATTTAGTGATTCAGATACTTTCGGTGACTTACTACATTAAATAAGCTTACTGCTGTGTAACTATCTTTAATAATACTAGATGAGAGTACCTGTTACGAAAGCAAACATTATATAAAGGACAATGTTAATGTTCTCCTTCCTCCTTTTGTTATTGAATCCCTAATGACCTCATTAGATGCTAATTGCATACTCTGCTTTGAAAAAGGTAATAATTGACCCATTTAACTGATAATAACTTATGTCTTGAAATTCAAAGCTAAATGTCTATCAAAAAAAAGTGGAAATGTGCCCTGTTTCAGGGCATTTTCTATTTCCCTTCTTGGGCACAAATCCTGAATTAAAATGTACACTATACGATACTTTCCAGTTACCATACAAAAAATTATGGTAATCAAGCCAGCCAACTCTGGGTGATGGGTGCTAAAACACACACATAATGGATCATCTTTATAGTAAGATGCAGGGAAACTTTACCATTGTAAATGCAATGAAAGCTTAGTTGCTTGATGTGCTGGGTTTGGCAACTAATACGCTGATGTACAATATCCAAACTTTTTAAAAATATTTATATTGTCAATGAAAAGAAAAGACTGTGTGAAACCATATTATTTGTGAATTCTGTAAAATTCATCCTTATGGGAACTTTTCACAAGCTGAAAGTTTTATACATCAATAAAATACAAATTTATGTGCATATAATTGCTTATGATACAACGTACACTGATGATAAGCAAAATGTTTATTATTTTTGCATTGTATTAAATGTGGGTATTAAAATGAATCTTTGTTACTTTTTGTTAATATTTTCAATAAATTAATAACTGAAATCTTGCACTATAATGTAAGTATACATCAATCATAGGAAAAACATCCATAAAATCAATATTACCATCCGTAATTGCAAGTATCTCTATCAACAGTCGTTCTCTGTTTAAAATATCCAATAAGATATAAATACACATACATAAGTATCACTACAATCACATCAATCATAAAACACCATGAGTCACTGTTAGAAAAACCACTAAATGATTTGTTGTTTTTGTTAAAGAAACTAAGCAAGTATTTACATTATTAGTGGGACAATTCTTTATCCAGTGACCAGGTTTCCCACATCGGTAGCACGTGTAATTTGGGGGTAAAGGTCCTGTCATGCTGCGACTTTTCACATACCTGAATTTTAAAGGAAAGGAAATTATTCAGATGGAGAAAAAAAAAATTTATACAAATATCATATTAAAACCCATTGAAAACTACGAGAGTTAATTCATAAAACAAAAAATATATATATAATGACCAAAAATTAAATCAATGAATACATGTGCAAAGTATACACAAGCAAAAAATTAATTATGAATATAGAAGATATATCAAATTTACACATACACGAGGATATGCAAAGAATATAACAATAAAAAAAGCATTTATTTACCAAAAAATAAATACAAAAGTGCACATACACAAAATGCATTTAAAACCTCTCAAAGTCTGTTTCTCACTTATTATTGCCAACAAGCACATTTATACTATGCATAAAAAATGATATAAAAAACAGCATAATTTAGTGTTTCATGCAAGTATCAAAACCATGAAAGTACAAGAAATTATAAACAAAAACAAACAGAAACTTAAAAAATGTGTGAACACTGTGTTTAAAACAAAAAGACAAGTCACAACGATAAAAGTAATTTATGCTAAGTATTTTCAAAAATTTTCTTCTTTCATTCTGCAAGCATCTAGCTAAACAAATAACAAGCAGAAACTACCAGTACGTTTTAACTTGCCCAATAAATTGTTTCTAATACTTCATAATGCTCATCTCTAACAACATAACTGTTAAGGAAACATTTTCTCGTTCTTTCAAAATTTCCTAATTATATCCTTTTTTAATAATATTTTCTATAAAAGTGAAATTTTTGAACCAAATGTAACTGTAAATTTCTAAGTTATCCATCTAGTAAGGTCAACAGAAGTGTTGTTCACTGTACCTTTTTCTTTTCCAAGTTATGTAGTTATTAACTACTGTTGCTAAAACATTAATTAGTCAGAATATTTGTCTTCATTTTTCCACATACAATTTCATATGTAATAAAATTGAAAAATATTATTCGTAGACATTAGTTTTTTTTATATCTCATAGTTTTCAAATGGTTCACCAATAAAATAGACAAAATTAATTAATCATGCATGTTCAGTAAATTTATAGTAGAGCTGCCCCGCAAGTGATTTTCACAAAACTGGTGTACTTATTAAGGTAAATGTAATTTTGCAGGTTAAGAATGACTACTACTCAATGCAAGTTACACTTCACTCATTCTCACTCACTACGAGATCCCAGAACAATGCTTCAATTACACCTTGTCTGTTGTACACCTCTGTCAATAAGGCCCTTTTACTTATTATCAAAGCTCATCAGGGTTACAATATAAGTGACATCACTGAAATGCTATATACATGAGACGATCAATCTCAGTTTGGAGTAAATTATTCACAGCCTTGTTGTGATGTTGGTTAGAAGCACTAAATTAACTAGCATTCCAAAGCAAAATAAATACTGGATATCATTCATATACAGTTTGAAAAATATTATACGATAAGCATCATGAACTTCTTGTTTTCATAATGTGACACTCATGCCATGGTAACACTTGAGTTGATCATAATTCATCCAAGGCAGCTTCAAATAGTAAGTACAAAGTGTTACATCCTCTCTTTATGGCAATGCAATTCATTTTTGTAGTATTTAGCATCCTCTGTATTCATTCCAAAAATCCCTCAAGATAATTAAACTTCAAATTAAAATCACAAAACATTAGATTGAAAAGTGTTAACAGACTCAATACAACAAAACAGTAGAACAAACAGAAATTAGCACAAAGTTGACATCAATATAAAGCATAATATATTTACAAGCTTTCTTCAGAATAAAATGGCACTCATAGAAATGTAACATCATACTAATATATTTAATCATAACAAAGAAGACAGTACTAGTGAAAAATGATTAAAACAGAACTCACTTAGATGGGTCATATTCATGAGCTGACTGTGACATCATGGCCTTAATCTTCTCATCTTCACTTGCATTTGCGTTTACTAGATCAGCTGTCTATATAGTGAAAAACAAAAGTTCGATTTGCACAACAAAAAACTATCCAAGTTAAGTAAATACTTACTCTTGACGGCAAAAACTTACACCTGAAGCAAAAAAAAAAACCTTTCGACTATTCAATGCAAATAGATTTCATAACTGGTTTACAATAATATATTTGTTAAACAATGCAAAATAGTATTAGATAGATACATCTGCCACACCTAAAAACTTAGGAAGTGACTAACCCTTCGGATGCTATAATTGAATTTATCTGACTTAACATTTATAGCCATTTGGTGTGACATGCGTATTTACCTCACGATGTCACAAAACCTTTTCCTCAAAGTGCGACAATCGGGATATATGTACATCATTGAATTTCCTGCCTTAGTACTGTGCGTGCATATATCACCAAGCAAAAGTGCAACTACTGGATTTTGATATTGAAAAAGTACTTAAAAAAGTCCAATTCTAAACTTCATTTTTAGTGGATAATTGACACTTTTCGAGAACCCACCCAAAATTAATTATGCATTCAAATGGTTAATAAAAGTTATATTAATATAAAAACAGTAGAGATGCAAATATACAGACACTGACAATCCAAACTTTATTATGGCTAATAAACGTTAATTAGCTTTAATTAATATTTAAACAACTTCTCCAGTGTACACAATAAAAACAAAAATACACACATGCCCATAGCAATGAAACAGTTAATAACCGAAGTTTTTTTTTTAAAGTACCTATGAAAAAATCAGCATAATTAAAAAAGTTAAAACAACAACATCCTTGTTTAAGTGCTTAAAGAAACAAATTAAAATCTGAAAGTCATCAGTTGTTGTAAAATTTAATAACTTTAAGATATATTCGGAAATACATAATCTTTTATCAGTTTCAACTGATATTTATAAGTACATTATCAATTTTACCTATGTTATTCTGTAACAATCGACACACCTATATGTTTAACTACATAATTTAAAACTCATTTATAAAACTTATGTAACAAAAAACTATGAAAACCCTTTCATTGCAATATTTTATACAGTATAATTTGATCTGGTATAGAAATTCTAGAGGCTGCAAATATAACATTTGTTGAAGGAATTATCAAAATCGACTTAAATTTTTGAGTCATAACTAACTTAGTTCCACTTTCAGCTAAGCAACCTAGATGAAGCTTATAGTAAAAGAAAAATCTACAACTAGAGGAGCATGCTGTGTGTGTGTCTATATGTATATATGTGTGTGTGCTGAAAAATGTATTAACATTAAATTAAATTGAAGAAAAAGTTATACTTTTACCAACATAAAACAATAAACACAAATGATCAACCTTATGCAAGCTCTAAATAATGTTTTGCGACCTTATTTAAAACCTTAAATAAAATAAATCCAAATCTTGTATAACTAAATGACTTATCTATTACATACACATAGCTAGAAAGAAACAGGTGTAAATCCAAACCATTTCCAAAAAAAAATATTTTCTCCATTCCTCCTAAAGATTTTTATCATTTATATTTTGTAATTAAAAACAGCTGGGTTGAATTTAATTCCAGTTGAAAGGTTTTATTTTTTTTTTCCCTAACAACTTGATCATTGTCATTGGAATGATAATAGATATTCAGTTAATATTTGGTATTCACTCTCTTCAGCCACTTTGCCAGTTTGGCTAGATATTAGTACCTATTTGGTACTCACAGGAACAGTATACACCTAAAATCTATTGTAAGTAACAGGAATTTACAAACAACAAATACAATCTTAACACATGGAAGATCAATTAAAAATTATATTAACGTAAAATATTAATAACACTGATATATCTCATGAAAACACTGATTTTCTACAATATCCAGTAGTGATAAACTTGCTTTCAAAATTCTATGAATTTCCAGGATTTTCATGTCAAAAAAGCCTTTTAGGGAAATAGTGTGTTGAATTCAAAGATGTCCATACATCTTGTACAAGTTTCTTTTGAAGTGTTTTAAATCATTTTCTCTAGCCCTTAATTATTAGCATGCAAGAGTTAAGTGGTTGAAATGTTTAAAAATATTCATACCGACTGCATTAAGATCAACTATATCTCACTGGTGTTATAAAACATTCATAGTCACAAGTTAAAATGTAATGAAAACATGTTACTTGAAAATACAGCATTATTAAAACTTATTGCAATATTTCGTCCATTATTTCCTTTTCAAATCCCCATATGTATTCATAATTATATAAGAACTTATGTTTGAAAGTCAAAAAGAATATAATATGTCAACCACACTATATCTGCTACATCCAGTGCCAAAGAAGGCTTTTGCCCAATACCAGGGCTCATCAGGCCATCTGGAATACGACATAGTAGTAGTGATTAAAACCTACTGCATGAATAACAACTGGATCTTTCAACATTTCCGTACTAAACCACCAGTATGGCATCCACAAAAATGCTGTAAATTCAACTATTCTATAACTTAAATGTCCTATGAAACTAAAAAACTGAAGTTATTTTGTTAAGCACTGACAAAATATCCTGTGTTAGATAAATGCCAATAACATTAAAAATCTGACCAAAAATCACACTCTTACTTCTTAAACATATGTATCTGTACGTAGAATTTTTTTTTCAGAAAAGTAAAATTCTGTTTGATGATTTCCATTGTGGTTGTAACAACTGAATACAGTTGGTTATCAAATGCAATCATTTCACCAATTAGAGTAAACTTTTAGCATGTGGATAACTAATGTTCCATAGTTTGTTTTTGATAATGCTCCTGATGGTTTATTGTCTGGAAAACACCCTAGAACTTTTCACTTTCACCTTCATGATTAATTCTAGTAGACTTTGAAGTTTGCTGCAAATTCTTGGAATCTTGAGCATGTTTATTTTTCAGATGATCATGCACTAAGATAGCAGAAGCTGCTATGAAATTATCAAACTACACAATTAAGAAAAAAAACACCAGATACTTCAATATAATCCCACATAATGTTCTGCATTTTAAATCATTCATAATAATCAATGAATTGAAAGATTACCAGTGAATCAAACAACCATATCAGTCTTAGGAGATCACTGTGTATACTGCAAAAAAATGTTTTGTTTACTACCTATTGATAAGAGAAACACCCGCTGACATATTACAGCGTGCATATATTGCAAGGCATACTAAAAATGTTCAGATTTTAAGGAAGCACTACTGGTCATGCCAAAAACATGACTAGTATTCACAAAATTATTTTGTCTCTGTAAAACTATACTATTGGAAGTTGTAGACCCAAGACAGCGACAACTATAATAAAAATATTAATCTAAAACTATTATATGATCTTTTGTTAATGTACTCATACTGCATTCTACTCAGTCTGCAATTTGTTTTACTAAGATTTTTACACTCAATGAACATTATCTATATGGTCCATAGTTTTCAGTGTCCATTTAAACAAATGAAACTTTTGGAAGAAACACATCAAGTGAACATTTGGTTATTCCACCAAAAAACCTGGTCAGGAATTTGGTGGCCAAGCTGAATACTAAACATTAAATCTATACTTTTCATCATCATTTTATAAAAAAAATACCCAACTTTATATAAAGAAATAGCACATTTTACCCCACCCCCTTTTTTTCTGATATACACACATTGCTTGGTTGAATTTAATATCATTACTAGAAGCAAATGTATTCAATTAAGCCACAAATAACAAGATGAATTATTTTCTCATCATCAATTACTTCTTTCAGCAGAATAAATGAAAAAGAAACAAACTATGTATCATTTTTAAGATATTTCTTTCATTGTGCATAACTAGAAAACAATATATCACTTTATTATCCAAAATAAATAATTATGCTTTTCTTGTAATACACTATACATGTTCCTGATATAAATAGTATTTCAATTAGGGCTTTAAGTGTTATTACCATGCAGGATTATTGATATCTGGCAGGCCGAATCTACAGCAGCTTATCATGTATAAAATTTCACTGAAATACCATTGCACAGTCTATTCACTACATACTTGCTACATTTAAAGAGGGCAATTTAGTCAACTTTGGTATTATATATAATAAACAAATGAAAGATCAGAGACCAGAAGTCAATAATAGTTAGTATTCAAGTAGTATTATAGTGAAGAAAACAGAAACAAACAGCAGTTGTTTACATTTTGTAAACAGAGATAGTACTGTTGTGTATGTGTAAGAAAATTATAAAACATAATCTAAGCATGTTTGATCATACTAATTCTAAGAGAATAACACGTACATTAAGATTTTATTTTAATATGTTGAGGATTTTTTTAGACTATTATGTCTAGAAAAATAAAGGAATCTATTACTGAAAAAAATGACAATACACAAGAATTTTCTAATTTATCATAATGCTAAATCAAAAGTTTTCAGTGTTCAAACTAGTTTTAACAGTAAAATGTTTTCATACAGTAATTCAATGACATCAACACATCTCAGCATTATAAGTTAAGGAGGAGATTGAAACACAGGGATCACAGCTCAAGAAACGTGTGAGCATAATGAGGAAAACTATTAGTGTGAATATAATAGGAGAATTTGGACTATTTAAGAATGTTTTCATTTAGATCGCTCTGATTTAGTCTTGTTACATGTTCTATAAGGTATGAAGTTAATTTCACCATGGAATACCTGTTGGGGTATAGAGGTCACTCTGAACAACAACTTTGTTATTGTGCTTGACTTGGTCTATTTTGTTTTCATTGCATTTATTTATTTATTTTTAATTTTATATCAATTAGCTATTTTCGATTTTCTAGGGATAATATTTTTTTTATATCTTTGGCATAAACAAGGTAACTGGATAGACTTATCTACTCATAATCAAAACTAAGAAATGATCATGACAAAAATAACAATAAAAGTGTATTTCTGCATCATTTTTATTCCAATTCACCTTTGCTAAATAGCTCGCAGTACCCTCAAGTGTATTTTTAATTACAGCATATGATACTACAAAATGTCAAAAAAAATTAAATGTATC